GTCACTGAGATGACACATACATATTTGTACTGCTTTCGAATTGAAGAAAAGGCAGTTTTTTTTGTCCGCAAACCATCGTTTCTCAGGGTATAGGGCAGCACAGACAGGTCTTCTCTGTGTTAGAGTTTTACTCACTACAGGGTGTATTTTGAGGGTTTGTGACTCTGCAGACCGTTCACATGCAGAACAACCTTCATAACACACAAGGGGAGGGTATAACCAGGAAAGCATGACATGGGACCTTTAATGATCAATTTCAAAATAAAAGCCAATTTAAAACTGATTTAATGTAGTTTCTTAACTCAATTTCAAAATAAAATGTATATCAGCAATATTCAATTAAATTGTAAAATATTTTCAGGTTCTTTAGGTTTTGAAGGTGTTTTCGGAGTGTTTTCAAGGCTGAATGATTAATCGATTTTTAAAATCGAAATTTTAAATGATGCGATTATCAAATCGCAAAGCCTGCGATTTATTTTTTTTTTTTTTTTGTTCATCCACCAAGAATCGCAATATTTGTCAGAAAAATGAAATTCATTCTTTTTCCCAAAATCGTGAGCCCGAGTCAGAGTGTTTTCAGATGTTTCCTCGTGTTTCGGTTGTTCCCAGAGGGTGGAGTTACCTTGGCAGCGTAGCTCCACATGTCGATGCGGTCCTGGAGTCTCTTCTTGCACTCGGGCTGCAGACGCACTCTCTTGTCCTGCAGAGCCTCCATCAGGCACGACATCTCTGAGGAAACAAAGTAAATCATCTTCTCAGGGGGGGGTCTGCACTGCATTATCTACAGCATATGCTAACTTGGATCACACCACACCCGTTCAGAGAAACTAGCCCTAAAAATCATCTAAAACCAAACTAATAATATCAGATTTTCTTTCTATTTCACGTAGTAAATAAATATGTTTTATGTGATTCTCAGCTGGGTGCGTTTGTTTTGTTGACTCACGGCGCCCTCGGCCCGGGGGATAGCGGCACATTGGTGTTTGATGTCCAGAGCGCAGGCGGTGTGGAGGACGGGGTCAACAAAGATGTCCGCCTTACTCTCCTTCAGCATGTTCAACACCTCCTGCAGGAGAAACAGGACGGAGAGGGAAGACAAGAAGGAGGATTTAAGAATGAAGGAAGGTTAAGATTTAAAGGAAGCATCGATATTGCATTTGTAGCAACCGTAAGGTTAATTGTCTGCCTGCACATGCATGTCTATGCCACAAGGGGGCAGTTCAAACTATGGTTTATTATTGTTTTATTATGTGCTCCGGACTTGAGGAAAATATTCCTAGTGGCCAAACGGCGGTACTACAACTTCAGCGTCCGTGACGTCACTGGAGCCAGAAATACTTTTTCCCATTTACTAACATGGGGAAAGAGACTGTAAATCAAAACTAAATTAACTACCCAGCACTTTTATAGCCTTTATTAGAATCATTAGGTCCTTAAAGTTGTAAAATGCACTAAAAGCTGAATCCAGATTTATTTTCTCTCTCCATTCATTCTATTGAGCAGAGAGCGGGGCTTAATGACAGGAGGCGGGGCTTAAGGGGAAACTCAACTGCCCTCTATGAGCTACATACTTCTACTCTGACAGCAAGGCATGATGGGTAATCTGTGACGTTTTGCTCTCGAGAATGTCAGGCCATTTTGTCCTCATGCGCCAATGAGCAGCTCTCAAAGGAAAGAACAAGCCCCGCCTCCAACGCTGTATCCAGTTCTTATTAAACGTCCATGCTGCAGATGCCGACATCTTGCCTATGTGTCGGTTCACTCGTGAAGTTAATACATCTATTTCTACACTTGTAATTATTTTGCAGTCTGAGCGCTTTAACACATTAGCAATACGATGTGCAATACTAGAGGTAATGATAATTGTTGATCATTATTCCCGTCATCATTAATTACATTTATTAAAAGGATCATGGTGTGATTTTTTGCTTTTTTCACGAAGTCTGTATAAGCTGAGACTTCTCTACAGCTCTTTTGCGTTTACTGTGATTTGGATAAGGTGTGTGTTGGTTGAGTGGTTCCTGGTGGTTGTTGTTGTTTACCTTCTTGCATCCATCCTGTTTGATCTTCAGCAGGTTGACCTTCAGACACTCCTCCACCTGCCCCGTCTGCTCCTGAGCTGCTGCCTCCTCTGGACACAGCCGTGAGATCTGAACACACACAAACAATTAAGATGAGTAAAATCCTAAATGTATGTCAAAAATTCAGAAAACTATGTTGAAGAAGACTAATAAAACACATGCCACAGTACTCGGGAGTAGATCTGTTGTGTTTCTATTTTGAGATTTCTTCTGTTAAATGTTTGTGTTTTTAGTTTTTCCATTGAGCGCTGCACATGTCTGAGGACAGAGGGTGTAGGATTGTGTAGAGATTGCAAAACCCACTGAGAAAAATGAAGAAAATAGCAGAAGTGTTGTATTCCCCTCAGAACTCACACGGCAATACCGCCCTCTGCTGGCCACTCGGCCTCATCGCAACACGTGAAGAAACCTCAAGGAGAGCCCGGATAGTATAAATATTTAAACACAACATACTACTAAATGATATCTGTCATAAGGATTTATAATTTATTCATTAACTAGTGTATTAACAGGGACATAAATAAACCTTGCTGTAAATGCTCAATGTTTAGTATGTGTGTGTGTGTGTTTGGTGGTGTATTGTGTTGTTGTGTGTGTGGTGTGTGGTGTGTGTGTGTGTGTGTGTGTGTGTGTGTGTGTGTGTACCTCTGCAGTGCAGTGTATCTGCAGCTGAGGGTCCAGCCTGTAATCGAGCGCTGACTCCTGCAGGATGACCTGGATCTGAGCCTCACAGTCTGGAGACAAACGCTGCAAACACAAAGAGACACACATTCAAATGTTATATATAATAAAAACAAGACAGGTAGGTTCACACATACGAGGACTTTGACTTGATGTCATGGTGCATACATAAAATATAAAACAAAGAATCTGTAAGGACACTGTAATATAGTTAAATAGTTGGGCTGCACGATATTGGAAAAAACTGACATAGCGATATTTTCCCCCTGCGATATGAAAAAATACAGAATGCAGGAATCCTGAAGTCAAATTTAATACCTTTTAAGACCTTTTTTAAGACCCTTTCCATACATTTTAAGACCTCATCGCAACTTTGAGTTCTAACCGGTTACATTGGCGACACACTTTACCTCACATTTACTATATTGATTGTAAGATAGCAAAACTAAACAGAGTGCAGACAGACTACTGAAGCCTCCTCTCCACATGAACTTCAACCTCTCTGTGAAGGTCAGGTTTAATGCAGTATGCTGCTTTGTTGCTTCTGTACTCTGTGCTCTTTCATTCCAGTAAAACTCCTCAGAAACCATTAGAAACCAGTATTTGACCAATAAACAAAACAATTGACAAAACTATGAAATATGTTAAACGTTGGTGAGCTTCAGCGGGGTAATGCCATATTGGAGCTCCCTCACAAATACCCAGGGGTTAAATTGGGCTGGGGCTGTCCGGAGCTAAGCCCTGGCACATAGGACGATGCTCTGACGTCATCACCCTCACACATTTGTCATATGTTTACAAAAAAGGATATATATGTTAAGACTTTTCTCGTTCTTAATATAGACTATATTTAGGGTCAATATGTGTTGACTTTACTTTAAAATAGCAGATCTCTGTGACCGGATATAGTTTGGCTTAGACCCCGGCCCCACGAGGACGCATACGGTAAAACGCATACGCAAGCGCAAAAAAGTCTTCTGTTCACACGCATTCGATTCATTAATGTGTCCGTTCACACTAGACCGCTGGAAATGCTGGAAACGATGTAGTACATATGTCAGGCCTGTAAGTGGCGCTTCTGCCGCCCGAAATACACCAAAAGCAGCGAAGAAGACCCCGGAAAATGGTTGCTATGGTTGCCCTTCTGTTTATTCTCCGCGGTGGACGACGTGTTCTCCTGCTGTATATCTCTCCGGTAGTCCACAGCAGATCAAAAACACCCACCTCACCGCCTCTTCCAAGGAACGAGGGGACCGTGCG